GCATTTGTGTCACTGGAGGAGTGCATCCAACATACTCTTTGTGAAGAACTCGGTGTTGCGCTTAATCAGCTTGCTCGTCATGGCGGTAGCCGCCAGCTTGCCGAGCGTTTCCCTTCTGTTGCTCTCGTTGGTGTCGATAGCGATCTCCTTGATCTTGTTGACGGCCATCATAGACGCTCTCCGCAGACCCTTGATAATAACCTGGGAGCTGACGCCCTGCTCGACGTGCTCCTTGATCTCCTTCAGGATCTCTCCAGCCAAGACGACGACGGACGTTGTGCCGTCACCGACCTCAGCATCTTGTGATCTCGCGATATCGACGAGGATTCGGGCTGCGGGGTGAATGATGTCGAGGAGCTATATGCGCGTCAGTATGCCCGAGTCTCCCCAAACAGTCCTTGCGGTCCTTCCAACCTTCATAACAGTAGCTCCATCGTTGGTGATAGTCTGTCTGCCGTTGGCATCGACCATCAAGAGGTCACCTCCATAGGGACCGAGAGTAGACTTGATCGTGGCCTGGACAGCCAAGCAGGCGTTGATGTTGGAGATGATCTGACCCTTGCCCTGAGAGGTATCGGTTCCTGCGCAACATGCTCGTCAGTCACAGTTTCCAGGTCGGCAAGGGGAAGGCGGTGGGGTAGCGCACCCTCTTTCAGGACAATAATGGTCGGGGTCTGGCCTCCGAACGACATTGTGGGCGATTATTTTGATGCGACGAGTACAGCGGTAGGGATAACACTCGGCGGTATGTTCGGGGTTCGTATATCGTCGCGGGGAGAGGCTGTACTTGTGCTGTTCGTGGCCCAAGAAGCTTCTGGAGCTCCAAAAAATTATTGCAGCCTTTCGTGATGTTCCCCGGGCACGGACCAAGGTGTGGCTGCCTTACTTGAGCTGGATTATGTAATTGAGGAGGGGTACTCTCGACCCCTGCCACTTCCCCGCCAAAACCCAGGCGCAGATTCAACATCAACAGTTCTCAATTTCTCGACTTACGAGGGATCGATCGTTGATAACCGAGCCCATCTTGCGAGGATCCATGCTATACCGAACTCTTGCTATACCGTCATTCTGGATATGCTAACTATGACAGGTTTTTATATAGGCGCTTACTCTGGAGATGGTTGACAAGGCATGCGTCTAAAGCTGGTCAAGGTAGTTCGAAAGAATGTTCTCACGCCAATCAGCGGGCTCGCGGGATGCAGGCTGACTTGGCTCCCTCTCCCGTGTCTGCCTATTCCATCGCCTTCTTCAGCCATTCTATCAGTATTCTAGTCCTCGACCATCTCTTTAGTCACTAGAGGGGCTTGTTCATCACTTGCTTGGTTCACATGTTGTCGGTGTTCACGTACAGCGAGAAACTTGCTCTCAATGAGATTCGACTAATTCAGCTTTTTCCGGGAGAATGGCTCGACGGCCTCGAATCTAGGCTATATGTGGCCGATCGAAATCATAAGTACCAAGCCTTATCTTATGCATGGGGGAGTTCGAAGCGGTCAAACCAGATCACCGTCAACGGCAAGATCCACAAGATCACATTTAATTTGGATAGAGCCTTGCGTGCTGTCCGAAGGCAGATAGAACCAATTACTCTCTGGGTGGACTCGATATGCATCGACCAAGATGATGCTGCAGAAAAGGGTCACCAAGTTGGCTCGATGCACGACATCTTCGGCTCGGCCACTGAAGTCACAGCCTACGTTGGAGATGGCCTAGATCGAAGCCGCAAGGATTACTCACGTCGTTTTGAGAAACTGGGAGAGAACCCCTTGACTGATCTCGGGAATCTGGATATCTCGACTTCGGATCACACATGCGAGAAGCACTGGGATACGCTGAAGAATTCTGAGCCCGGATCGCTCACGGAACATGAAGAGATCTTGTGTCTTTACAGCCTCTTTGCGCTGTTATACTTCAACAGTCACGACATAGAACGAAACCTCAGTGAGTCGCAGCTACAAGTGATCATCGAAAGGATGCGGCTTTTTGCGATAAGCGACTGGTGGAGTCGGATGTGGATTGTTCAAGAGGCCTGCGTCGCTCGACGGCTCACTATGGCTTACGGCCGTGCTTTGCTTCCGTTTCACTACGTCGAGTCAGCCCAAATGCACTTGCAGTCACCCAAGATCAAACATCCAGAGCTGATCAGAGTTGTGCGCTTCTTGGCCGGCAGAGTAGATGCGATCAGTCCTGCTCGCCGCTTGAGAGAGGAGGAAGAGGAGACAATCGTCGGAGCAACTACAAGCAGCTCTCTGCTGTGGCTTCTCAGAAGATTTCGCCATCGCAAATCCTCGGAGCCGCGAGACAAGATCTTCGCTCTCCTCAAGCTTGCTGAGGACATGAAATCGAAACGGCCATTTCTACACAACCAGCTGAGTATCCAGGCTAATTACGAGGATGATGTCAGTGAGCTCTTCTCTCACGCAACATTCGAGATTATCCGCCATACCGGTCTGCTCTGGATGACGACACCAGACTTGCTTTCCAAGAGCCGTATCGATATTCCTTCTTGGGTGCCAGATTGGTCTTCCGAGCACATGGCTTCTGGTTTCAATCAGAGACGGTATCGTCTCCAAGAGGAAGCGTCCTTGGGATTCAACGCAAGTCGTGCACGATTTTCCCACTACCCGTTGAATTTAGAGGGTCGAACTGAGAATATGTTTCCACGACAACACCTCGAAGGCCTGCTCAATGACGACATAGCCGAATGGAAGCCTATTCATTTCCTCCCCACTATGATCAAATATACCTCGAGCCCGCCGTTTGAAGAGCACAGACAGCAGTCTGCCTTGATTCTGAAAGGCGTATCTTGCGGCGTCGTTGACCATACCAGCCAGGTCATTCGCAGTGATCTCTCAAACGTTGGCCAGGCCATTGCCCAGGTTCAGGCCTTTTACGGAAGGAAACAAGGGCGGCAAAACCATCGAGAATCGTTCCTCGAGGCCGTTGCAACCTGCCTCTCCATGTCTATGCAGGTCCTCAGTGACGATGACGGCTCCCTCCGCACACTCGACCTTGACGAACGGCGAGAACTCTCCTACTGGGCCTTCGGACAATACGCAGGTGCGCTCATGCGAGTGAGCCGTGATCAGAATATCCTAGAAGACTTCTATAGTGCGGTCGCAGCTTGTCCAGACGGATACACAGTTGATGCCATTCCCTCAACAGGAGGGTCGCTTTTACGATTTGAAGCTTCAACAGTACCTGACGGCGACCAACATCAGTGGAATGATGACTTGGATACCGATGAATCGTATAAAATCGCCTGTTTACCAAAGGATTATGATCTTCTAGAGTGGACCGAGCCGGAGGGTACTTCATGGATGGAGGACACCGTTCGGACTATGGCCGCCGGAAACCGATTATTCGTTACAGATCGAGGCCAAATTGGGCTAGGCCCAGGCAGCATGTGCGTGGGAGATGAGCTCTGCGTTCTTGAAGGCGGGCTTATGCCATATATGTTACGAAAACACTTCGGAACGATCTGTACCGAATCTTCGAGGGTTCATCAGATGGAAAGCATCAAAGGCGTACACCGGTTCACAATGGTCGGAAGCTGTTATGTTGATGGCATCATGACTTGGGGCGACGAAGCGCATGGCTGGGGAGATAACGCTGACGATATCGAGGAGCTGGATTCGAAATTGAGGCGAAGGCTTCACGCTCCTGAACTTGCCGAAGTCGCGTTTCTTCTCGTCTAAGTGACGCAGCATAGCGGGATGGCACTACCGGACCGTCTGTCACAGTCTGCTGCAAGCACACGCGGGAAAACTCCCAGACTATTCCTAGTTTCTAAAGAGAATGGAAGAGAAAGCGTTGTCGCTATCATTGTAAGGATTCGACGGAGACTTTCATTTCGTCGCGATCCTTGGGGGGTGATTGGGCTCTGCACAACGAGCTGTCTCCCTAGAAAATGGATCTGACGCGGCGATAGCGTGACCAAGGATTGGATAGCTAGTCACTCTTCTCTCAATAATATTGTCATTGATACTCAGTGAGCTGTTGGCTATCAAACACAATGCATCTATTTGAAAGCCTAACCTTGCAATCTAGCAGATTTTCTCCCGAGGCGAAAGCAGCGAGCGTTCCCGGGTAAGGTAGCTTTACTGGTCTTTCAATGGTTTGGTGATCTAGCTCTTGTCTTGAGTTCCCGGTGATCATCAGCTAAGGGAGGCATTGCTATCCGGAAGAGAAGACCTAAATTTTCACAGACCGATGCCCTGTGGTGATGTTCCGTCCTGTGCCCGTGCAAGCCAAGTGTAAGCCGGGGTAGTTAAAGTACATCTCGAGAGCTTGCAGAAACGTGCCTTCTTCTACAAGTATACTCTGTTAGGGTCCAGCAGAGCCCAGGGACGATGAGATGCATGTGATAATCTCCGCTATTGCTCGTAGGGCTGTCCCCTCATATGAGGTGAGTGTCATTGCAGGAGATTCTCTTTCATCGCGTGTGTCCGCGCAAGTCCCTATACAGGACTATTAGACTAAAGACAACTCCACTGCGCCGTCTACGACTACAACCTACGGGTCTCTTAGGTTGTTTCGATTACCTAGTCTGTACGACTGACAGGGTCGCTATTGGTCGAGCTTCAAGTTTCATTTAACGTTGTGCTATGTAATACGCGGATAGTATCGTACGAGGCACGTCACCTTTTCCGCTATAGACTATACTTCGCGACATCACCTTGAACATGAGGTTCAACTTGTTTGGATCCTCAACGTCGCAATTAGCTCGTACCACTTCTGATATCGTGACTCTGTATTTGAGTTTCATCATCTGGGCAGTATTACTCTCTAGCTCGAGAGGCAGAAAGTCAATAGACCGGGGTGATTCGCTTTCAAAAAAGTGGTTTCCGCAACTGCTTCATTGCCCATCAAAGTCAAAATCGGCGACGGCCCAGAGTGGCAGTCTCTATCTTGAAGGCGCGGGAGACATAATGGCAAACGCGAAATGAGCTTTCAACTTTATACATAATCACCTGCTTAGACTATAGGTACTTTTTTCACTAATACGTCATGACGTGAGTTCCACCGTTGATGGACCAAATATCACCAGTAATGTACGCCGCATCAGGCGAAATCATAAACGCCAACAGCGCGCCAACCTCCTCCAGCTTACCCAGTCTCCGGAGGGGGACCCTCTTCAGGCCCTCCTGCATGGCCGGGCTGGCGGCGATGCCCCTCTCGAGGGCGGCCGTGAGGATGGGGCCGAGAGCAACGGTGTTGCAGCGGACGTTGTCCGGGCCGTAGGTTGCTGCCGTGTGCCGGGTGAGGGCGTGCACGGCGGCCTTTGAGGCTGCGTAGGCTACGCGAATCGGCTCCGGTGTGCCCATGTAGTGGCCGCCCATCTTTAACTCAGTCAGCTTTCTGACTTTCCTCATACGTTTGCTGCAAAATCGCTGGGGAGAGGAGAGCGACTTACACTGGAAATGTTGATAATCGTGCCCCCGCCAGCCGCCTTCAAATGCGGCAGCGCATACTTGGTCGTAAGAGCATACCCCGTAGTATTCACCAAAAACGTGCGCTGCCACACGGCGGCGTCCATATCGAGCACCGACTTGTCGTTGCCCAGGTTCTGAGGGCTCAGGTCGGCGCCGATGTTGAGCAGGCTGTCAAGCCCGCCGCCGAGCCACTCGGTGCCCTGGGCAATCAGGTTCTTGATGGACTCCTCGTCCGAGAGATCGAACTCGACGACGAGGGCGCTGCCGCCGGCCGCGGTGATTTCCTCGCCGACCTGTTTGGCGGCCGAGATGTTGATGTCGGCGACGACGACTTTGGCGCCGCGGGCGGCGAGGAGCTTTGCGGTGCCGGCGCCGACGCCTGTTGCTGCGCCGGCTACGATTACGCGGAGTCCTTCGACACTGGCCATGATGATATTTACTTAGGGAGAATTTGAGAAGGGGGCTGGGAAGTGTACTGGAATTACGGCGAGTCGGTCTTGAAATGGGATGATGCAGCGGTTTAGAGATGCAACTTTCAATATTCACTCATACTCCAGGATTCAGCTATCGCTTTCTTATACGTCAATTCTTCAACCCCATCCAAACTATAAAGCTCACATTTCGTACCGCTGTACGAGCCAAAAACCACAGCTTGCCGTGCAGCCTGTGCTGTGCTGTGTTCTGTTACAACTTTACAATTGGAACGAGGCAGACTCGGGATCGCTTCGTTAAACACCCCCCTGGCAATGCGGAACCGAAACCGAGACCGGGGCAGTCTATAGGCCTCTGTAGTTTCATTGGCGCGCGGGGAATTAACAAAACGCTTTTTCCCGCCTAATGCTGGTTCGGCCCAGAGCTTGGCGATGATCCCAAGCTTGACGGATAGCTCCCCCTCAACCTACCTGTCCCTGACTCCTGCAAGATATTGCTCGCGAGACACACGCCAATGTCATGCTGCGGCCACATGTATGGGCACCTTCTTCTGCATATCTTTGGTTATACGCGGACAGCCTGAGCAATTAGAATTGCCGTCTCGAAGATAACGCCCAATGGCAGGGCGGGAAATCGTAATCCTACCCCCCTTTCGCCGAGCTCTAGGATCCCCCGCTTGCTTAAGCTACCTAGTTTCCTACTCATGGACGGGAAAACGAGCAAAAGGCAAGGGCAGTGCGAGTAACATATGCGAAAAGAAGGTTTAGGGAAGCTCGTCTGAACCGTGCCTCGTTAAACAAGACCTGTACCTGTCACCCTATGTTTTGATGAGACGGCTTGGATGTAGAGTCCGAGGAGGTGGAGGGAGGGGGGGCCAAGGGAAGCGAAGGGTTTGGGCGAAACGCAGTCGAACGACTTATATAAAACCACGAGGCACGTCTCCCACTGCCGGACGACGAGACAGCGATACTTTTCACTTCACCTACCTTACCCTACCCTACCCGCCTTCATAGTGAGCTTGTTACCCCTTTGACACAGCTCCCACTTTTCCTTTCGACAGAAGCTTGATCTCTTCTTCTTTCGCCTCGCGACCATGGCGGATTCCTCGAGCGCCGCCGCGACCGCGGTCGCTACGCTGTTGGAGCGCTTCAGCTCGACATCTTCCGTCAAGCTGATTGCCTCTGCCGTGGCCCTCGTCGTCACGATCCTCATGGTCATTGACAAGTTCGTCGCCGCGCCCGTTGATCCCCGCGAGCCCCCCGTCGTCAAGGGCCTTCTCCCCATCATCGGCCACTGGATCACCGTGAACACATCGTACCCTGGTGTCTACGAGAAGCTGGCGTAAGTCGAACGACACCTCTCAACGCTTTAGACGCTCTAGAAACGCCCCTCACAGGCGGGACCTCATGAAGAGCATCATGGCAAAGATACATCACTAACAGCCAAATCTCTCTACATGCAGTAAACGCACAAAGCTCCCCATCTGCACCATCCCCGTCCTCGGCAAGAAAATGTACGTCATCAACAGCGCGCCCTTGGTCCAGAGCGCCATGCGCAACAAGACGCTCGAGTTCGGCGCCCGCATCGAGGAGATTGGCCGCGCCATGGGCATCAACCCGGACATCACCCACCGCCTCGTCAAGGAGAACGCCGTCGAGGAGATCTCCCGCGTCACCATCTCGGCCCTGTCCGGCGAGAACCTGCTCAAGCTGAACCTGAGCGCCCTCGACTACATTGGCGGCCGCTTCAACGAGGTGAAGCCCGGAAGCCCCGAAAAGATTGATGACGTGTTTTACTGGGCTCGTGGGTTGATTGGCGTTGCGACGACGAGGGCTTTGTATGGCGAGCATAGCCCGTTTAACAATTTGGAGCTGGTTGATGCCATCTGGTACGTTTTCATTCCGTTCTCTTTACCCTGGCGTTTTCTTCTGTTCTCCCTGTCAGTGTGTAGCTAACATTCTCGGCGCAGGACATACGAGAGCGGCATGGGCAAGATGCAATACGGCTGGATCTCCAAAATCATCGCCGGCAAAGCCCTCGAAGCCCGCAAAAAGATCGTCACGGGCCTCGTCGGCTACTACATGCGCAAGATGGACCAGGGCCCGACCGTCTCCGCCACCATCCGCGGCCGCGCCGAGTTCTGGCGCGGCTTCGGCCTCTCGGACGTCATGCTCGGCGCCATGGACTCCCTCCCCGCCGCCTCGACCGTCAACACGGCGCCCTCCATGTTCTGGCTCATCGTCAACGTCTTCGCCAACCCCAGATACCTCGCCCGCGTCCGGGAGGAGGTCGAGTCCTCGGCCGCGCTGGCCGTCACCGCCGAGGGCGGGAGACGCGTCGCCACCATCGACGTCACGGAGCTGGGCAAGTCGTGCGCCTACGTCGTCGCGTGCTACCGCGAGACGCTCCGCTCGGAGAACACCGTCACCGGCAGCCGGACCGTCACGAGCAAGGACACGACCATCACGGACCACGAGACGGGGAGGCAGTACCTCCTCAAGGAGGGCGTCGAGGTGCAGTGGAGCGCGTCCGTGATGCACAAGAAGCCCGTCTGGGGCGAGGACGGCGACGAGTTCAACCCGGAGCGGTGGCTCAAGAACACGCCCGACATTGCCAAGGGCACAAAGGAGTCGTTTGTGCCGTTCGGCGGCGGCAAGCACCTCTGCCCCGGCCGCAACTTTGCGTTTGCCGAGTTGTTGGGCGCGGTGGCGTGCTTGGCTGTCGGGTTCGAGCTCGAGGGCGTGCAGGTACCGGATCATGAGATGCCCTTCTCTACTTCGGGTCTGCGGTCGCCGATTTATGGAAGCAAGTCTAGCAAGGCGACTCTTTCGAGGCGGGCTGGATGGGAGGATGTTGAGTGGAGATTCAAATAGAGGATCGAGGTGTTTCTTAGTATGGTGCGTTGGGCTTTTTAGGGGTAGTAGATATACAAGATTGGCGAAGCAGGAATAGGGGTTTCTTGGTTCGTGTCCATAGGTATGAGACTGAGATGAATACCACCAGAATATTTCTTTTTGTTCATCATTAGTTGACACCTGGCCTTCTACCAAACAAATTAGAATGGTAACGGCTTATTTGGAAGCTGAATCAGGGACTTGTTTTGCTGAAAGAACGTGAGATCTCTGTATGACAACCCTCCGGCGGGGTCTTTGGCCATAAAGAACCCGCTGCGCGTTCGACTTCAATAAGTGGGTGAACGTAATGCAGAACCATTCATGTCATCAAAGCGTATTCTCATTTTCTTATCTCTAGGGTTGTCTATTGTCATCATAATCCTTTACAGCACGCCGGTACTCCTCACTCTCGGAGTCTCAACTTTTGTTTCTCCCCTATGAAAACCGCTCGCCAAAGACACACCCTCACCTCAACTCCGCCGTCAGCCGACAACATCCCGCCCCAACCCAAAACACAGAAATAACACAAATGCGTTTATGCCTTGGACAACAGGTTCGCGCCAGTCATCTCCTCAGGCTGGGGCAGACCCATCGCAGCCAAGACGGTAGGCGCAACATCACCCAGGACACCGCCCTCCTTCTTGAGGCTCCAGCCCTCGGGGGCGTTGGCCATGATGAAGGGCACCTTGTTGGTGGTGTGCGACGTCTTGGGCTTGCCGTCGGGGAACTTCATCTCCTCGGCGTTGCCGTGGTCGGCGGTGATGAAGAGGACGTAGCCCTCCTTCTTGCAGGCCTCGTAAATCTTGCCAATGGCCTTGTCCGTGGCCTCGACGCCGACGACGGCGGCCTTGTACACGCCCGTGTGGCCGACCATGTCCGGGGGCGCAAAGTTGTTCATGACAAAGGGGAATTTCTGCTCAGCCAGACGCTTGGCGACCTGGTCGGCGACGCCGTCGGCCGACATCTCGGGGGCCTGGTCGTAGGTGGCGACGGACTTGTTGGAGGGGACGAGGTCCTGGGACTCGTCGCGGGTCTCGAGGGCAAAGACCTTTTCGACGCCGCCGTTGAAGAAGAAGGTGACGTGAGCGTACTTTTCCGTCTCGGCGATGTGGACCTGCTCGACGTTTTGCTTGCCGAGCCACTCGGCGAGGACGTTGCCCATGTGCTGGGGCTTGAAGGCGATCTCGAAGGGGTAGTCGGCCTTGTACTGGGTCATGGTGACGAGGTTCTTGATCTTGGGGAACTTGAAGTCGGGGAGGACGGAGCGGTCGACGTCGCCGAGCACCTGGGTGATTTGGCGGACACGGTCGGAGCGGTAGTTGAAGAAGAAGACGGTGTCGTCGTCTTGGGGTTTCTGTTAGTTATGAAGTTTGGGGTTTTGGGGAGAGAGATGCTCACCCTTGATGCGGCCCTCGTCGCCGCCGACAATGATGGGAGTCAGGAACTCGTCCTTGTCCTTGTCACCGCCCTTGGCGTAACGCTCCTTGACGGTCTTGACGGGGTCGGTGCTCTCCTCGCCCTTGCCGTTGATCAAGCCGTCGAGGGCGATCTGGACTCTCTCCCATCTCTTGTCACGGTCCATGGCGTAGTAGCGGCCGACGACGGTGGCGATCTCACCAATGCCAATCTCCTTGGCGGTCTTGACGAGCTCCTCCATGTAGCCAGCGCCGGACTTGGGGTCGGTGTCACGGCCATCGCCGAAGAAGTGGATGTAGACCTTGGGGACGCCGTACTGCTTGGCGGCCTTGAGGAGGTTGTAGAGATGCTCTTGCTTGGCGTGCTGGGAGGGTTGTGTGTTAGACGGTCATGAATCTTGGGCTGGAAGATGGGCTGGAACTCACCACGCCACCGTGGGAGACGAGACCGCAGAGGTGCAGTCTGCCGTTGCCGTTCTTGGCACCCTCAAAGGTCTTCTTAATGACCTCGTTGTCGGCGAACTTGCCCTCCTTGATGGTCTGGTCGATGCGCACGACGTCCTGCCAGACGACACGGCCGGCGCCAATGTTCAGGTGACCGACCTCCGAGTTACCCATCAGACCCTCGGGCAGGCCGACGGCAATGGAGGAGGCGTCGAGCTCGCAGTATCCGGTCTTGCTCTGGGCAAAGTCGTCCATGACGGGGGTCTTTGCGTTGGTGATGGCGTCGCCATCCTTGGGGGAGTCGGCGCCGGGCACGCCCCAGCCATCAATCACGACTGTAGGAGCGCAAGATCCACAAGATTAGCCAGCCGACTTGGAGATAGAGGATGATGTAGGCAAGGGTGAGGATGTAATCGGGATTGGGTTTGGGAATTAGTTGCGGTTGCGGGAGAGGCGAGGGGACTGTTTCTGCTGGCGGCGCGTTCTGGTGGTTTTGGTGGCCAGCCTCGACAACACTCACACCACCGCCATCTCCATCACCGCGGGGCTTCGACGAGGGGCACGGAGGGTCTGGAGGGAGATCTTTGGACGTACTCAGGCAGGCCTTCTGGTCGGTCTTGGCCATGGTGAATTAGGTTATTTTCTGTGCAGCAGTTTCTTTACAGAAGGGGGTATATGGATGAAAGCAGAGTTCTAGGAAGTGCGTGATTTTTTCTGTTCTGGGAGATGGAGACTTTTATTTACGGCGACGGCGGTGGTGGTGAGAGAAGTGCCAGGCTGGTTGAGGAGATTTGATTGAATCAGCCAATGTACCACCTTTTCTTAGGTACAGTGAGCTTTCCCGGCGCCTGGGTTGTTTTATCGGTGTCGGTGGTTTGGTGGGGGTTTATGTCATAGTATCGCCGATAATAGATCCGTGCCGTGGCACTCCGTAATCACACTGTCCACACAACCGTTTCTTCCGTCGAAAGTACAGTGCCAACTCCGTCAGAAACGGTGCGGGCTGCCCGGCTGCCCCTCTGTTGACTTTCAACAATTTTTAGCTACCAATCGCCGCGCCGCTAAAACGCCCGTGGAAGCTCCTTGCCCCGGCGGAGCTTCCCCCCTCCCTTGGCCCTTGGCCCTTGCCGTTCCAGCTTGACACGACCCTGGACGCGGACGGACCTCACCGAGCAACTGCTTCTCTCACCTCACCTCACCTCACCTCATCTCATCCCACCTGGGTACTGTACCTACGCCTCCATCTCCCCGTCAATTGACTTTCCAAGCCTCGAGCACGCAGCCAACGACCATCCTTTCTCCGTCACGCACCTACCGCGAGGCTGAGAATAGCCCGATACCTCTCCACAAATCACCCGTTTCACCGACACTTCTCACCACACTTCTGTCAACAACGCATAACGTCTCCTCTCCGTTCACACAAGACCCCGAGACCAAGCCAAACCGAACCACCAAAATGCCGCCTCACCCCCTCGAACTACCCCCAACCCTCTCCCCAGACGCCCTCGACACCCTCACCGAACTAACAGGCATCCTAACCCGCCTCCGAACCGCAATCCAAACCTCGGGCTCCTCCTCCTCCTCCATCGGCGGCGGCCTCACCACAGGCGCAACCCCAGCCGGCGCCGGCGCCACACCCAACCCTCTCGGTTCCGCCGCCGGCGGTGCCGCCAGCCCCAACGCGCCGCTCTCCCTCAAAGACGTCCCCGCGCAGACCGACGCCCTCAAGCACAAGCTGCAGCGCGCCCGCACGCAGATGCGTACCCTCCCGGATATGGAACGGACCGTTGAGGAACAGGAGGAGGAGATCAAGGAGCTCGAGGAGAGGATACGGATGCAGCGTGAGGTGTTGGATCGGTTGAGGGAGGCGGGTGTGAAGTTTGGGCATGAGGAGGGCGGGAGGGGGGATAAGATGGAGACTGAGTGATGCGAAGGATGGAACACGTGCGATGGAAGAAGACTTCAAGCGAGAAGTTGCGAAGGAGAACGAATGCAAGAGGAGAGGGAGAGAGATTGGGACGAAAAGTTTTTGCCAGAGTGAATTATTATGATACCCCGATATGCGAACCACCAAACGAAGAAATTTTGGACAGAAGAGGACGCTGTTTTTCTTGCGCCAAAACATATTATGCATCCCTCGCGATACCTAGCAAAACCGCCTTCCTTGAAACTCCAAACCAGGATTCGACCCAGGAAACTTCTGCAAGTAGCGATGACCTCTCATTTTCCCGCATCCCGTCGATGTACAGCATGTTCCATCCGATTTTCAATGCTTCTGGACCCCGACCGCCTTGAGGATATCGTGCAAATCCTTGCCGCGCTCGCCCGGCACAACCTTTGTCCAAATCTCCTCGGCCAGCCTCTTCTCCTCGGGCAAGATGCTCCAGTTCGGACTGGGTTCTGATTTGAGCCACTTGAAGTCGTCTACTTGGTCCCACTGGTTCTTGGTGGGGTCTTCTGTGGTGTCCTGCTCGGCAGTCAGCGGCTGATATCTCAAGAAAAAAAAAGGCGGGGAGGGGTGAGGAAAAGAAGTATGGACGAGTAAGGGTTTACTTACAAAGCTAGGCGGCAACGGCGCAAAGCGCATATTTGAACAATCTTCGATAATCGGGTGACTCGAGCAGTGCAGATAAATATCAACGTTCCTGCACTCGTGGATGCGCACCTGCCGCGCAGAAACGACAATGATACTATCCGACACACCCGTGATATGGGCCGGCCCAGCCACGTTTCCCGCAACAATCAGACTCCTCTCGACGTTTTTGAGCGCCAGGTTCGCAAACGAGGTGTGGCCCGAGAGCGCGATGGACATGTCCACTACACACCCTTTCAGATCGGTCAAGCGGCCCGAACTCGTCGCCCTCGACGCCGAGGACGGGAGGATGATGTGCAGGCCGTCTTGGCCGAAAATTGCAATGTCCTTTGCGGTAGAGAAGCTGGGTTTCCGGACCTTGGTGGCGCTGGGGCGGGCCATTTCCTCGTTGTAGTTCTTTGGGAAGTTGGGGAGATCGCCGAGGCCGTCTGAGTCCGTCTCCGTGGCGGCCTGGGTTACGGAGGAGCAGGGGGGAGCGGTGACCGGACCGCCGTGGGATGGGGGGAAGGGGTCGGCAAGGCTTGCCCCTACAATGAGACGGGGGTCAATTTTGGGCGCGGCTGGGCCATTGGTGGTTGATGTTGTTGCTGAGCTGGCTCCGCGAGGTTTGAACTGGAAGCGGGAACGCGGGGCCAGCTTTGCCGTGGTCTCATTCAACTTGTCTGTGAGAGCTTTGACGGCCTGTTAAGTAAAGAGGTGTCAACGAGATGTAATAGGAAGCCTGAGTAAGTTATGGATTCAAACCCACCTGGGCGTAGTTCCGCTGGTCATACGAGGGAACATAGTCGGAAGCGTCGGCGACTTCGTTGGAGAGATTCGATATACCGGCCAGGATGTGATCAATGGCGTCCTGCCTCTCACCACCGACCTGAGATATGGAGCTCACATTGTCGATCTGCTCTTGTAGACCTGGGTGCGGGGTTCTTTGTTAGTATACGGCCCAGAAAACATCAGACGACCATTCGGTCCTTGTTTTACGGGGCCAACGTACCGATGACTTCTTCTTGAAAATGGTGATAAAACCTCTCTTTCGGATCCTGCATCTTGGTTACTGGGAGTCCTCCACCTACGGCAAATTGCTGAAGTACTTCGGGTGCCATTGTCGTCGTAGTGGCGGGGTAGAGATAGGAAATGGAAAAGTGGAAATCGTATATGATTTTATATGTGAAGGAACAGAGCCGAGCCAGAAAAGAAGCTCGGGGCTTGTGTTTCAAGCGAGGAAGGGATCAAGATTTGGGCCTACCTGATGAGAGGTAAGGCAAAGTAGACAAGCTTGGTGTAAGACGATCCAAAAAGTGGCGTGTCTTCAGACGGTGGGGTGTGCGACCAAGTCTGTCTTTAAAGGTCCCGTCGTCTACACGGTCGGTGCCAAAAATCGAACCACGCGACTTTCTGATTGCTCGCTTCGTGACAGTGTACGCAGTATCAGCGTACCAAGTCAACGTAGCTGAGGTTGTTGTGACGCGCTTGCGCAGTGGCTGGCGGGGAAGAGCCAAAAGGGGACCAGGGTGGCAGGAACGAGCTGGAAGATCCGGGGATGGACGAGGTTTTGCAACTCCCGAAGTGGGTGTGGTCGTCCAAAGTGAGGTTGTCTTGGGGTGTCTGGGGGTGTTAGGGTGGTGGTGTGTGTATGGTAGGAGGCGGAAGCGAAGAAAAGCACGTTACTTCCGTACGCGAAACAGGTGCCGAATCGGACGATGAAATGCAGGCAGGAGTGAGGTGATGGGTTCCTTCCGTACCTACCTGTGATGGTGGGAAGGCCGTAAAAGACGGCGTGAGGGGCACGGAAGGGGCGCTTCCCATTTGGCGCTTGCCACCCCGGTCGACGTTGGGAGCCGGCCGACGCGGATTGGCCGCTCGGTCGATCGGTCGGGTTTTCTTCAGTGCTCTTAGTGGGGACCCTGGACCGGCGTGAATGTGGGGTCCTCTTCCTTTCCCTTCTTACCTTCGATACGTGGGTACCTATATTCAATGTTCTCGTCATGCATATCAGTCACGCGAGTGGCAGCCAACATCACCACCGAGCAGCGAAACTACTGCAATGGGGTCTGACAAACAATCGAATCAAGCGGGGGGGTCTGGTGTGTTTGCTGTTCCATGCTGCTTGTGGTTTAAGGTCCTGCTCGAACAGCAAACGAACGCTTCGCCTCCCCCGCATTCTCCGGATACTGACGCTCTGCCAAGACATCCCGGGACCCTGGATCGACGATGAGCTTGGCTGTCTGACGTCGTCTCACTGTCCCAGGCTACTGAAGGGTCGAGTTGGGACGAGGCAGTGGATGAAGAAGATAACCACTGCGAGAACGAACATATCAAGCACTAGTATCGGTGCAAGTTGATGAGCCAGCCTGGTGCTAGGTCAACGGATGAAGCCTCGGAAGAATTGTCATTCCCTGCACTGATACGTGTAACACCACCTGAGGAACATCCGGTCTTTTAGAGTTTTGGGGTACAGGAGGGAGGAGGCCTACCATCGTCATCTTCCCGTCTCTCCCTTATATGTAGAGATTTCTTGCAAGCTTACTATGCTGGCGTCAGACCATACACCTGTTGTACATGCAAGTACAACTTGAGACGACTTTATAGCACGTGGGCCGTTTTGCGCAATGGCATACAAAAGCAATTCGTTCCGATGAGGCTCAGTGTCAAATCGCATCGTAGACATTTGACAAATGGATGCCTCTCACAGACAATCTAAAGAAACCATCCAATACGAGACGAACCGTGTTGCGGCAGATGTAGCAGTTGATTCGTGGGGAAATGCTCGACAATATCTATGCTTGTTTCGACAACTCCAAACAAAATCCATGTAAGGCTTACATGTTGGTGAGGCTTTTCATGGACGTTAATCGTTAATCATGGCGAAGAGGCATTGGGTGATGGATGGGAGTAGGTGAGAAAGGGAAGGCGGTAGTCAATTTATCGAAACAACTAAACGCCAACACCAAGGCCGTAAGTCATGGCCATCTTCGCCGTATAGCAACCCGAAGAATACAACGGCGATATTCAAGAAGAGAGCAGAGAAGCTTCGTGCTTATTCCTCCAGAAGCAACTTGTGCTGCTTAAGAAGAGGGAAGAGGGAAGAGACAACATATGCTCATTCCTCAACCTCACCTTCCTCCCCACAACCCCCCTCAAACATCTTCTCAAGCTCCCTCCTCAGCACTCTAAGCCTCTCCTCCGCCTCCCCCTGCTCCCGATCCATCTTCCGACTCCACGCAGGGAAATCCCCCGCCGCGCCAATCCTCCCGAGCGCCTCAACCTTGGCCCTCCTCTCGGCCACAAACTCCTCCACCCGGACCTTCTGCAGCCGCCAGAGCCGCTCCGCCTCCTCGAGCTCCTGCTGTCTCGCCCGGCGCCGCTGGCTGCGCTGGTTCACGCGCGCGAGACGCTTCTGCCAGCTGCGGCTGCCCTTGGGAAGTGCGGCCTCTGCCTCGCGCAGGTTGACGTGTAGGACCGCGTCTTCTTCCGTCTCCTCGGGGCGGTTGGCGTCGCGGATCTTTTCCCAGTTGCCCGGGCACAGTTGCGTTTCTGCGTTGGCGGCGTATTGCTGTTTCCTGCGGCGAGCCTCGCAGGGCTCTTGGGCTCGTTGTCCCTCTGGGATCTCGTCGCCCGCGAGGATGTCGCCGTCGGGGGTCGTGAGGAAGATCAGGGGCGCGTAGAGCTGTTGGTGCTCGCGTAATGCGGCCTCTTCTTTTTCCTTTTGCTGTCGTTCTTGCTCCAGCTCCAAATTTTGCTCCATCCGCTGGTCATACTCCTGCTGTTGCCACAGGCGGTAGGCGTTGCGGAGCTGTCTCCAGTCGCCTGGGCAGAGGAACGTCTCTGCGTTGTTGATGTGTTTTGTGCGCAGATCCAGGGACTCACGGGACTCGGTGCACCATGTTCCCTCTGGGATAGCATTGCCGAAGAAGACGTTTCCCTCGGTAGTGGTGAGCATGATGCTAGGGACACCAAGCTTCTGTTGCTTAAGTTCCTCAGGTACGACATCCTGCACCATGTCGCATTCGTCCTCTTCCTCGTCCTCGTCCTCGATAGCAGAGGAGTCTTCTTCCCACCATCTCTCGTTCTCGTCCTCTTCCTCGTCTTCGACCGCGCACAGGTCGTAGTCCCCGCTACTCTCATCGGCGCCGTCAAACCAACTGGTGCCGTATTGACGACGCCAATGAGAGAGCTGGGCGGCGGTGGCGGTCTGTGTATTCATGGTGGTATACATGACTACGGTTGGTGGATGATGAGAGGTGAAGAGAAATTTAGAAAAGAGAGTAAGGTAGTGAGAAGAGAGTGGGTTTAGAGAGTAGAGTTATGAGACGACAATAGGTTAGTTTGAAGAGAAGCGAGTGCTTGTTGGTTGTATGGGAAGTTGGGAACTGGCATATGCCGATATAGTGAAGCAGAGATGGGTTGTGGATAGGAGATAGAAGAGAATAAGACTGCCAAGACGAGGGACATCTGTCTATTATATATCTATCAAAGGAATACACGATCACCAAGGTTGAATCAAAAGGTAACGGAGATGGGTTCTAGGGCTGGGACAGAATGGTTGATGCGATGCTATCTCCGAACGTCGTCAACCTTTGTAGTCGACCAAACCTCGGTCTAGACGAAGTATAATTGAAAAACCTGGTTGAGCGACTGACACTGTGAAAAGCCTCAATTCTTTGCAATGTGCTCTCAGAATATTGGCTTAGAGAATGAGCACGCCTGGTGTCAACCACCAAGAAAAGGCTGTGACAGTCAATTAGACTTTTGATCGGAACATCTCAACTTCTTTGGACTATTACTGATTCTACCCTACATCAAGGCAATGCATGGCGGAGGCACTGTACATCTGAGTCGTCGTCGACGCCAAAAAGTGTTGATCACTCCCTGAGCATACACCTTCGACTATCCAAGCCCCCCGACCCTCTGTTCCACAGTTCCCAGGAACCCGCATGACCGTTGCAAAAGATCAAAGTAGCGGGCCGTCAACCTGGTGAAATCTGTCCCGTAACCACGGTACCGGTATATCAAGGTCCTCTTCACAATCACTCTCAATTCGAGTACCACGCTACCCAATTCACACCACGGGGCCATGTTCATAGTTCGCTATGGCTGGTCACGTCTTCACAGAGTTGCTCACGGCATGGGGGGTTGTGGATAGCAGATATGTATCTAGATTTTCAACACGCTCAAAGCAAGTAACAAATACGGGAGCCACCGGATGCCCAGACATTTCAGGTAGACGTACACTTGACGCCCTTAACCCCATCAACAGTCGTCTCCTCGCACTTAATCGCCGAGGTCGAAGTGAACACCAAGCTCACGGTGCCGTTCGTCGACGCCTCGTAGCTGACACTGTGAAAAGACCAATGTATCAGCATCGTCTAACTTTTTCAGGGAGAAGAAACACGAAAAACTTTGGGCGTTGGCCTTTCGCTGTCCACTTCACAACCCTCCCGCATTCTGGTCCAGGTTGCGGATGAAGGGGAACCCGGGGTGGTAATGACCCAGCCCGTGGTGAAGCGGTCTGAGTTGGTTTCTGCTTACCTGGAGTTGAAGTTGATCGGGTTGATGCCGATTCCCAGACCAATGTTCATCGTGTCCTTGGTGATTGTGAAGCCACCGCCGAGACCAAAGGCTTCAGAGCCGGATTGCAGACCACCTGGTGAACACAAAATGCGTCAGCTCGTTATCCTTCTTCAATAAAAGAAAGGCACCTCGTCGCCTCGAATTCCTCCAAGTCACCCCTCTCCATCCGCTGAGTGGTCAAAAGCATAACCACCCCCCCTTCTTGCGTATCCTCTCCTTTCACAACCACATCCAATCCAATTTGCAAGTTCATCTCCTCAAACACTCCCAGAACTCTCAACTCAGGAGACGCTTGGAAGCCAGACATCCTCCTTCATCCCGTTCAAGAACTCACCCCCAAAAGACTGCCCCTCAGCCCAATTAATCCCACAACCAACCCCAATTCCGCCAAACGGCACCAGCGTTCCCGCGGCACTAACAGCGCCCGACCCCGTCGTCGCCGAGACGTTCTTATTCAGCGCCGTGATTTCAACCGCAGCCTTCGTCTCGTTATCCTGGCGCGGGGCCAGGATGCTGCCTGCCGATGCGAGGCCTGCCACGGCGAGGAGCGCGAGGGTTGAGCGGGCCATTATTGCTTCTCGTTTCGGGGGAGGATGTTATTCGGTTATGGACGGTGTTTCGTCGATCGCAGATTCGTGGTTGATTTACGTTTAGTTGAGTAGATGCCGCAGGTAGAACGAGTGACTGTGGTGAGTAGAGGTAGTTGGCGAGAACCTCACGATGCTCACCCCCCGCGGGAACGAGGTGGGACGGAGACTTATATCTCATCGCGCCCCCACGCGCGCGCGGCCCTCAGCATCTACGTAGTAAATGGCCAGGATGATCATGATCCTATAACCCGGTAAAAGGGGCGGAGGGGAGACACAGACAACTCCATCACCAGAAACTCTAAAAGATGAAGTCCTGCGAGAAGTGGATCGCGGCGCGGCTTCCCCGGCATTGGGTGAACATGGACAACCCCGTCGACGTTCGTCTCAAGTTTGGGAAGTTGTCAACGCGCTGTGTCACCTGTGCTGAGAGCCTTATTGGTCTTTTTTAATTTATACCCGTTGGTGAAAGAGTGTATTTGCGATGATCCTGGTCCCTGCGGCGGGAGAAGAAAGGTCCTCTGTGCCCGACGGAGTGGTTCGCACTTAAACTCCGGGAAGCATCAGCGCCAAGAGAACCTCGGGCACTTGATGGGCAGAACGTTCAAGACTACCTGCGGATACTGAGGAGTGCATCGCGACCACGGGTTGAAGGCCATTGTACGGAGTACAACGTGCTTTGCTTTCACGGTTGCTATCCACATTGTGCTATTTACAAGAGACCGAAGCGAAATACCTTTGAGGGTGGAAGGGTGCTTTGGGCACGATCTCACGAGTCAGGTCGGGGGTTTTGTCCAGCTGTATTTCACAGGCTCTAATCCCGTGACTGATATTGGGGAAGTTGTCCAAAGACTTCCGCCCGATGATCTCTAGACTCTAACCCGAGCACCTCGCAAGTTCTAGAACCGCTGCTGCCAATCTACGAATACATTCCAACCTCCAAATTCTCCGGCCGTATGTCAAACGGTCTCAGATCGCGTAGCAAGTCGCATGTCCTATCTGGCACGTGAGCGGCGGGATGTACATTCCTGACCAAGTAAACTCTCAGCTAAGCTCGGAGCTATGATGCGATGTGTCCCATCACACAGCTACGGACGTAAAACCTTCTACATTCCAAGTGACTCACCACCGCTGTTCGCAGAAAAAGGGGAACAGAGAGGGAGGAGACCAGCGAAAAAAGTTCAAGACATGCTTAGCATAGTGAGATATCCGTGTTTCCTAGACCTAAGTCGTCAGACCACTTGTAGTACATGGAACAAGATCCGCGAGGACGTTCGTTCTTCATGAGTGTAACACCACTTCTTTCTTCCCGCTCATCAGGATCCTGCCGTGAGTTGGCGGTTTCGCCCAGCGAAAAACCGCGTGATCCTGTTTGTCTCTCTCTATCTAAAGTGCCTTTCCCCAAGAACCCTGCCCTATTTCTAACAATTGTTTTGTATCATGCGTTTCATTTTCCATTTCACATAGTCCATTTCTCATAAACCCGTTCAGTTCCCCGTTTTTGTTTCCCGTGTACACATATGGTAGTAACCCCGTCTAAAAAGTCTTGAACCCAACAGCAGCTGTGCAGAGGGGTGGAATGCTGCGCGCAGTTCAAGGTGCTCTGCCCCATGTGATCTACAGGCCACTTAATCCACACACACAAGAATGAAAGAGAAGAATGATGAAGAGAAAAACACATGAAGAAGCAACATGTAGTAATGCAGGAGAGTAAAAGCCGGACCCAAGAGTGAGGCCTCAAACCACAATCGGGTTATGAGAATCAGCCCCCTGGTCCTCAACCATCTCCAGGAACCGGGAGCACGGCGGCAGCCTCACACGCGCTCGGTGCGAACTAGCAGGCCACGCCCGGATCGAGTCGTAAAACTCGAGCCGCATGGGCGTCGAGGAAGCGTGCAGCCTACGCAGGTTGCTGGATTTGAGTAGCGAGATGCGCGGCGGCGTCAGGCTTAGGCGTCGGACGGCGGGCTCCGAGTGCTGACGTCTGCGCGTTCGGATTTGCGCGGCTGTCACGGACGCCAGAGGAGGCGGGGGCGGAGGAGACTGGTGAAGCTGAGAGGTGCGCTGTTCCGGCAGGAGTTGCAGCTTGGGCGGCAGAATCTCTGTCGGTGTCCGAGGGGGTGGCGACCCGGATGCCACGGAGCTGCGGTCCCCTGCTGCTGCTGCTGCTTCGAAATTACCATGTTCTGCACCGGCAAGGTGCAGAGATACGGGGCGGGAGTCGTATGAGTGGCTGTAGCTGTGCTGAAAGGCCGCGCCTCCGCGTCCTCCTCTTGGTCCCGCGTGCTCTTCCGCCTCTCGTCTGTTAAACGCGGCGGCAGCGCGGGACTGCACTCTCCTCTTGCGCGCAAACTCGGAATTGAGAGAGCTCATCAGCCTCTCGAGCACCTTCCAGGGGAAGATGACGGTGCCCACCTCCCAGGCCCTCCCAGCACCGAGCTCCGTGGAGAAGAAGCTCGTCCACGCGCGTGCGTTGGAGCAAGGCTCGCCGAGAATCATGGCGTCTGGCGAAGTTCGCATGCGGAGCATCAACTCGGATCGTTCCCGTTTGCTAAAGGGCACAAATGACATTGATGATGCGTTCACCATGTGCTGCAGTAGAACCAGGGCCTCGGATGCCTTGAAGAATTCGGCGTAGGGTCCTCCCAGAGCCAGGAAAGTTTGGCGGTAGCATGTGATGGTTGCTTGCCCTTGCTTTGTAGGGCGGCCTTGCTGCAGGATGAGAGTGACGGCGCGGTTGTTGCGGGTGAGGGTGACGGTGTAGTTCTGGTGAGGCGATGATGCCTCGCGAGACTGCCGTTGAGGGTGAGAGTTATCTCCCGAGCGAGATGCTGCTGCGCCAAGATAGCCATGTTGCTTGGTATCGATCCCTTGATCTGAAATTGCTTCACCCCCGTATCGATATGAGCCTTGGCTTTCTGGCCAGAGACTTGTAACGCTGCAGCTATCCGAGTGGGAGCGTAGATGGGCATGGACAGGCCGACTCGGTGTTGGAGGCTGGACGACCGGTTCTGGTGCAAAATATGAGTCGAACTTGGTAGGAGGCGTCTCTGGTCCAAAGGAAGACGTCCGTGTCCGCACATCTGAAGGGGTGTCTTGCCGTAGCTCGGGGGTCTGATCTAGACGAAGATGTTGGATATCAGGAGAATATCTAGATACTTCATCGGGGGATGTTCGAGATGGTTGCTTGGCGTAGGCGTTTGGTGGCCGGAAACCAAAGACACAGTTAAGCTTGCTAACGGTCTGGGCCGTGGAATCATCTACATCCCATGGTGACGATGTCGATGTTGAGCGGAAGGCGTCGACTGTCGGCCACTTCGCGTGGGAGACTGGCCCATCTACGTTTCTGCGTGGCATGGGAGCAAACATTGGAAAGGATGACATAGTGAACTGAGTAGGGAAAATCAGACGAAAGTGGAAGAGAAGCCTTGCTTTTCGGAACGCAGCAGCCTCGAACCTCGAGAAAAGAGTGAACGTAGGGCGCTCACTCGTCAGCAGGCCGGGAGCATATATACGGAAAGACTTCTACCCGCAATGCAACATTAGGACGCAACCAAACGATCGGACCAAAGGGGGAGCGGTCAGCCAGCTCGACCACACACACCGAGACAGGTTGTCTTGCATCTCCCCGCGCGGGCCAATCCCTCTCCAGCCAACATGCCAAGGGCAGAGTGTTTTCTTCTTCATCGTCACATCCAACGCACAACACACTTCAGAGGGCTGTTGGTAGGGCTAACCTCGTCTATACAGCTGGTGCTGCTGTCGAGGGTGTTGGAAAGAAAAAGGCCAAAAAAAAAAGGCACCCCCGCCTGACCGGGAACTTGGGAGACACACCACCATCTTATTTTCTTAGCGTGCGTAAGTGTCTTCCACAGCCTCGATGGCTTGCCCCTCCCTGCATGCCTCCCGAAGAGATCGTCATTCTGCTTATGCAGAAAAGCAATGTGGACTCCAATCAAGAGGTCCTATACGCACTCCCGCATGTCGCTAGCCGATTCAGAGCCTCGTGTCAACCGGCCGAAATTGTGGCATTGCCGATTGATCGCATGCGTCGATGCCCGAGGGAGAGAATTTATGACGGCAAAAAGCAAAGTGGTCCCGAGGGTCTGTGAGTGGTCGGCTGCTCGCATGAGAGCGGGCTGCAGCCGTGGGATACTGCACGATATATCATTTTTTACTTCTCTTTGCCCTCGTCCGCTGCCGCATGGGCAGAACGAAACGAGACAAGTCCAAGCGAAGATGAGAGGATTGGCCAACGGGGTGGACAGGCAAGATAAGGCGAGAGCATGCTGCAGTCAGCGGGATTGTTTGCTCCCACGGAAGTTTGTTCGCTGTTGGTAGAAACTTGAGATTCCTTGCTCCAAGCCATCCGAAGATTCACGAAAACGGCTGGAATGGGTTACGGGCGGTTGACGAAGATGAGAAAAGTACCGGCGCGCCCCGCTGTCTGCTCACCGCTGTATAGGTACATCGTGACATGGCGTGAGAGAAAGAGTAATACCTAGTGTGGGCATGTGTGTGTGTATGCCGTCGAAGAAGCAAGGTGGAAAAAGCAAAGTGTCTCGTCCAAGCGCGAGCGATGTGAGACTTTGAGAGACAAGGTCGACACAGGTGCAGCCGACGAATCACAAATGTGCTAAATTAATAACCGCAGGGAGCAGGTTATATAGCAGAGCTGGGAACGTCGGATGGGGTGTGGTGACTGGTGACAGTGTGCTGCGGTTGTAGCTGTCACACACACACACACACACATACTGCGTAATGTTTGGCCCTTGGGCGACGTGATGGGCGTTTGTTGACGTGGTCTGCGCTGTGTTACACAGATTGATTGCGGTGGATTCCTAGACTTCGCGGTCAGCTGTGACTCCGTGACAGAGTCAGACAGAAAGCAAATGGCAACGAGACAGGGCTGCACTGCGGGCGGAGAGACAAGGCCTGGGCAATGAATGTGAGCCGTCATGCGATGCAACATTGGAAAGGCCGGGGGACAAGGTGACGGGCAAGGGATAGAGACGTTTGATGTTGCGCTGCAGCTGAAAAGCTCCGAGGTGTGAGTGAGGTGCCGATATGGTGCTTGTGAAGGGGGAGAGGGGGGAAGAGAAGAGGTGTGGGTGGGTTGGTGCTGCATCGAAGCCAAGAAGCGTCGTGAGTTGGTGGTGAGAAGTGGAGGTTGAGTGGTGATGGTGGAGGTGTGATTCGTGATGTGTGGCTGGTGGAGTTTGCAATATCGCAAGCCACAGGTCCAGCCACAAGTCATATCATGTCATCAGCTCACCAGCCACCCATGTCATGCAGTCATCTCTGCCTGCCGTTTGCGAAACGTGGGAAGAGCAGGAGGTGCAGTATACGTACCTCGTGTACGGAGCACAACAGACGGAACGAACCAGTGGCTTCCATCTCCAGTTCCTGCCTGTTGTCTGCCTTGCCTGCGTCGTCTGATGTAGTGACTACTTTCGGTCACCTCGTGTCAATAAGATTCGACATCTACATGTCAAACTCTCGTCAACTACGCCCTTGCAACGACATTGACATTCAGTACGGAGCACATACAACCATGACAGATGCCATTCCTAGCTACCATCCGCGCCTCTGATTCGTCAATCCATTTTCGCACTTGCTGCCTAGAAGCTCTACCCTTGGCGAAGCCATAGCCCTATTCAACGGCCCCAGACTAAGCGTAAATCGACTCGGACTATGGCCGTGCAGAGAAGCAAATCGAAGATGCCCTCAACTACACGCCTCGAGGTACTCACCACGAAGAGTCGACAAATGGTCCAGTCACTTCGTTCACCTGGGAATCATGATGCTCAACATATAAGTGTCATGTCTGCTTCATGCTGAGTTTCTTACCTCGTCCGGATTATACTATCAACGCACACACAGTAACATCAATACTTTGACCATCAGACACTACCAACATATGTCCGCACCTCCAATCCCTGACACGAAAATGGCTTCCGCCGCAACACTCCAGCTTACATTGGCCAATTCAATATCGGGTGATTATGGCCACCGCCAGCCCTATGCCTTAACCCCAACCGTGCCTACCAACAACACGGTTGATGGCAGCAATGCTGCTCCAGATGACTTGGCAGAAGCAATTCGCCTCGCCGCTCTTTGCCGAGAGGCTTTCAATCTTCTCGATGCTAAAATGCCAGACTTTGATCACGCCAAAGCGTACACGGCCGATGAGATTCTTTCACTGCCCATGGACGGAATTCGCCTGCCAGACGAGCTGTTCAGTCTCCCGCGCCGGAAATCTGCGCGATCTCGCCTCGCCGAAGCCGTTGCAACGCTGTTGTATCCCGCCACCCACGATAATGCTGTGTCACCCGTCATTCGGTACGACGCGGCGAGGGTCAAGTTGCGTGCATGGGTTGCCCTGCAGCGGAAACACGACATCTTTGCCGCCACCAAACGGAACGGCCACAGCTTCCGCGGCTTGACCGGCGGGGCTGCCCCGGGCGTGCATGCGCCTGTGTGGGCGTCCCGCATCCTTGCCCAGGGCCCGTGGGACCCGTCCAAATTCCCCGTGTCCCTCGCTGGCACTAAAGCCATCCCGATGCCCGTTTCCGTTGCCGACGCCGCCGACCTGGCGCCGTTCTTCAACCACCTTGAGCGTGGCGGCACTCACGAGCTTGACGAGGCTTCCGGCAGCTTAAGCACACATCTCGATGGCGGCAAAGGCGAACCCTTCTATGGTGTCAAAGGAGCAGAGTTTCGCAAAGGTGTCGTCTACCAAGACGGTCGCATGGATCTGTGTAAAATGGTCGTTGGTCCAGACCACATTGGCAGCCTGATGGACAGCTTACGGCCGAACCCCTTCGTACGACACTTCCTGTTGGGTAACAACATCATTGGCCCGGTTGGGGCTCAGGAGATCGCGCGCTTCGTCCGCGAGTTCCCCGAACGCATGGATACTTGGTACTTGGCAGGCAATTGCATCGACGCCACCAGCTTCAGGGTCCTTGTCGATGCCTTGGTAGACTCAGACGCAGTGACGAACATCTGGCTGAAACGAAACCCGCTAGGTCCCGTAGCCGCTGCAGATGTATTCCGGCTCATCACCGAGACCAAAAACCTCCGCACTCTGGACCTCGACCAGACTGAGCTGGGTGATGCGGGCATCGCAGAGCTCTTCCAACGTCTGACAACTTTTTCCTCTGCGGTTCCCGGCCGTAAGAAACTACCCCTGCGAAATATATACCTCAACGGAAACGGCATATCGACTAAGGCCGCTTCTGCCATCGCCGCTTTCTTATCCTCCCCTGCCTGCGGAATCGCCTCGCTCTACCTGTCATGCAACCCACTGGGCGATGAAGGCGCGCAGGTGCTCGCTTCCGGAATCCGCCAGGCCACCAAACTCCAGCGGCTGTCACTCCAATCTGCCGGTCTGACTACTGAAGGCGCCATTGGCATCTTCCGGGCTGTCACGTCGCATCCCGGTATGCGCATGTTGGATATAGGCCAGGCATATGCGACCCTCGACCTCGGCCAGGCATGGAATTACATCCAAAATGCCTCTGCTCCAGTTCTCTGCGAGCTGTTGTCGACAAATCAGACTCTCGAGTACCTGAACCTCGGCCACTGCCCGATCACACCGCCAGAGTTGCGAAGGATCGACGCCGCTGTCTTGAACAGCTCCTTGCTGTACTACAGCGCTGACTCCATTCTTCCCGAACCGCATCGCAAAGAGCCTACATTCAACCCGTCGGCGGATTCGACAATGCCAGAGCTCCACTCGATATCGGCGCCAACGAAGGACGACAAGGCCCTTGAGAAGGCGGTTGATGCCCACCTCGAAGCTAACGTCAAGGCCAGATTCGGTACTGACATGACTTATACGAGGTTCCTCGATGAGGAGCTGCGGTGGATGACCAGTGACAAGAACGACGTGCGCAAAATTGACTCCGTGTATCGTAACCGTGACGCTGGCTTTGCTCGGCGAAAACAGCAACTCCTCGTCAAAGACTGGGACAGCAACGACGACACGCTGGACCGAGTCATGAACGCCAAAGGTCCGTTCTGCGCGACACGCAAACACTGAGGTCTCTCCAACTAGAACCTCCAGCGAGGTCTCTCTGAGGGTTGAGGCTCTCAGTCAGACTGGGCCGGAAGATAGCCATCAATGGATTGAGGGCCTCGTGACGGAGGCGACGAGAGGGTTGCCATCGGCGTCAGGACTCCACTCGGAGCTTCGGATTATCAGCGCCAGAAGCCGCTCCTCCACCAACAGTCAATAAACCGTATCAGGTCTATTAGTCTAGTTGGTTAGGACGTCGGATTCTGATTCTCAGAACCTTCCGTAGGCCCAGGTTCGAATCCTGGATGGACCTCATATTTTGACGGTATTTCGTTTTCTTTTGCGTGGGTTGATCTCGTGTGTTCTTACTTTGTTCGGGGGATTTTGTTTTGTTTTTTCTGGCGGAAATTTTGTTGCGCATGCATGTAGCGAGGGCTGTGTGGCTTCCCCTCCAATGATGGCTTGGGGTAACTACCTATCTCCCGATAACGATAACGACAAGATAATGTTGACGGACCAGCTCATATTATGTAAGCTCCAACGTCATTGCTTCCAAACGGAAAGGACGCAGAAGTCTCGGTCGCACTCGGTCGCAATCGACCTGAACCAACAACAGATCGCCAATTGAAACACGAATTGCGCCCAGCACATTCCCATCGCAGCGCGCCTCCAAGCTCGTGACTCAACCCATCGCTCTTGACCATGTGAGACAGCTTTTCCCATGCTCCCACACTGAAGATTCGCACGAAATTGTCTCAGTTCGACGGTCGTAGGACCCATTCAATCCACCGACCGATCTGAATCTCTCTCTCTCTTACGCAAGTCTCTCGATCCTCAACCCCTGCAAGGTCACTCCCGCCCACGAGGCCCCAAAGTTTAATTGATTCCATTCGCGCGCTCCGGAACTCTCACCGCGTACCTCGTGAGTCGCTGCGTAACATCATCGTTCACCACACGATCCTCGCCTCGCTCTCCCCTGAGCATGGCGCCGGCGAAGCGCAAGCGACCCCACGACGAGCCCGAACCTCCCATCCCGGCTGCCGCTGCCGTCGCCGCCGCCGCCGCCGGCGCAACAACCGCCGATCCGACGACGACGCGTCGCGCAACGCGTCAAACTCCGATTCTGCCCCCTCCGATCCCGACCTCCGCCACCGCATCGCACCCGCAACCCTTGCACCCCTCCACTGCCGCCGCCGGTGCCGCCGAAGACAAGCGTATCAGTGGACGTCGTCCTTCTAATTCTAAGCCGTACCCCGCATCCAAGATCTCCGAGACGCCCATACCGATACCGATACCGCCAATATCGTCATCAGCATCACATCTACCACAGCAGCAGCAGCAGTTATCTATACCACGAGCGGTCGGTCAACCCGCAACACCAACACCACAGGAACCCCGCGTAACCCGTCAACGACGTGAGAGCGCAAACGCAAACGACTCATCGTCGCCCAAAATGGCATTCAAAGACGCAAAAGAAAACGTCAGGCCCGTGACGCTCGTCGCGCCAAAGATCACGTACCAAGCACCCCAGACACAAGCTCACCGCAATCGCACCGGAGGCAGCCTCGTCCGTCCGAGCCCTCCCACAAGCCAGCCGCCCATAACGCAGCACTTCCGGCCAATCTCCTCGACGACAACTACAACAACGACGACGACGACGACGCGACCTTCCTATCACCACACCATTCCTGCTACCGTTACCGCCGTCCCTGTGCCCGTACACCCGACGTCGACATCAACACCCTCCAAGCCGCCAGCGGCGGCGGCCCCGCCTCCACCACCTGTCCCTCCCCAGAGGACAGCAGACAAGTCCGCCCCACGGACCGATCGAAACATCGACAAGGTGATGCTCGGCAACATCTGTTTCCGGGCGTGGTACCCATCCTACTACGGCAAAGAAGTCCTCGGCGAGGCCGCGGGTGCAAAAACGGGCGGCGGCGGGAGCAAAAACCCCCTTACACACGACGCTGCCAGCGCAAACAACAGCAGCAACAGCAACGGCGGCGCCAAGAACCAGCACCGAAAGGGCGGCGACGCGCCCATGCTCGACAGGTTATACGTGTGTCCCATGTGCTTCAAGTACTCCAAGGAGCTCGTGGCGTGGTGGGGCCACGTCCGCATGTGCGAGCGCAACGGGGTAGTGCCGGGACGGAAGATCTACCGGCACCCACGGGGTCGGAGGCTGGTGCGCAAGGAGATTGCGCGGACGACGGGGAAGAAGACGAATGTTGCGC